ATTGTCATTGTGTTATTAAATTTGTAAGAATGATCAAAGACATTCTTCTGTTTCTGTTGACCTCCCCAGCCTGTATTTTATTATAGGCACATCCTATGTGAAGGTTCTGTTTTCTTGTTTAGTAACTTCCTGCTTTTATGACCCTTTTGTGGGCAGGAGGTCACACAAACGCACCCCCAAACACACACACTCACATGCATACACACACACACATACAGATGGTCACACATACATGCATACACACACACACACACACACACACACACACACACACATAGACACACGTGCTTACACGTGCACACACATACACACATAGTACCTTGTCTTTTAGAACCATAGGGGGGGTTTACAGTGGGTGGTGCTTGTGTGTACTGTAACTGTTTCCAATAAAAGGCGGCAAGCAGAAGCTGGTTCTTCGAAGTGGTCTGACCGAGGGCAGCAGGGCTGCTCTGAGATCCTTCTCTTGCGTCTTGCTTCCTTGTCGTTAATGGGAATAAGTCTCTAAACCAGCAGGGCCTGTGGAAGCGTAGACCCAACATATATAACTGTGACTGCTCACCAAAGAGCATATTTTTATGAAAATCTTCTTCATGAGGTAAAAATTCATCATGAGCCAAAAAGAAGTCCAGCTGTCATATCCTGTATTCGTGAATCCCTCCCCAATCTGGTCAGCGATTTGCTGATGGTAAATATGTCTATTGCTGCACAAAATGAGCATTAGCAAACTTAAGCAAACAATTAACCATTAGCACTAAACACAACAGCTGAAACTGGGCTATGCTATACATTAATGAAGCAGCTCAGCCATGGAAACCCATGCCATGATGCTCCCAGTGCACAGTTTTTGTGCTGATATTAATCTCAGTTGGGGTTTGGAGCCCTGCAGTTAATAGCTTTCAGGCACTATCAGCATATGTACTCGGCAGCCCCACTCTGTAGGTATACATGTTCTCACACTTTGTGGCTGAGGTGCTGTGGTTCCTAAATGTTTCCACTTTGAAAAAAAAAACACCCCTTTGAGGTGATAGTGGAATTTGTACAAGTAAAGAAATGTCACAAACGAACCTGTTGGCTTGGTGACATCCTGTCACAGCACCATGCTCACTTCAGTGGCCTCTTTAGAGCGACCCAAGAACTATTTCTTTCACAAATGTTTATAAAGACAGACTGCACAGCTAGGCGTTTGATTTGTACACCTGTGGCAATGAGACTGAAAACGCCAGAATTTAAAGATTACGAGGTGCGGCCCAATTAAAGTGAATGTAAAGTGAACGTAAAGACAAAGACAGAAAAACAGACAAAACATAAAGTTCATGGTATTTCGTGTATAAAACCAGTCACTGCCAGTTCCACAGTCAGCAAAATGCTTTGAAGTTTCAGTCTAGCCTTAATTTGGACTAGTTTCAGCTCTACAAAAGGGAAGGTTATTTGGTTTTGCACTTCCTTTATAAAGAGGAAATGCAAAACCAAACCTTCTATATTACGACACGAGTCAGGACAGCCGTGAGTCCATCATAAAAAACTGATTCAATAGGAGCTTTTCTGGGAAACATGGTAATGTTAAAATACATTAAGAATCGATGTAACTGATGTAACAGACTGAGATGAAAATAGAAGAGGCAGATTTTCCCAGCCCTTGTAGGCGGGGCTGCTGAAGCACCTTTGAATGGGAAGGACATATTTAAAGAGGCACAGATCACTGTTCATGTCGAGACAGTTCAAATTATAATTTGAACTGTCTCAGGTCTCTGGTCTTTCTGTTAATTTACACCGAAAATATGAGCATTTCAACAATGTTATTCAAACCACATGTTGAAAAACTGTCATTATTTGTTCATGCATAATAAACTAAGCTAACTTCAATTGGACTCTAAAGTTTGGGGTCTGAGCTTTAGATATTTGTAGATTACTACTTGAAACTACATGTGAGAATGTGGAAGAACACTGTGGAAGACCAAGACAAAATCTATAAGTGTAAACAGGCATTCATGTGAAAATGAAAACACTTGATGACTTATAAGTAAATGCAGAGTTTAATAATGAAGTGAATGATGTGTAATTTCCTCAGCAGTGAATATTATGGCATTTTGAGTTTGTTTAGTAGCTGTGGCTTTATGAAAATTTCAGTGTTTTAAAAATGTATTAAATCAGTGATGCTTTTGTGCCCTGTGGATTTTAACATATACTGTTTTAGCTCTTAAAATAAACTATTTGAGAAAGAATAATCAAAGATTTAGGTACAAAAACTGTGACTGATTTCCAGATTTTAGATTCATTCGTCTGACACTCACTGAGTCAGGGCCGTGTGTGTCTGAACATCCTGAACATTTATTTATTTATTAAAGAATACACACAGAACACCTACCTAAATGCATTTTATCAGTACATCAGTACATCAGTACAAGCAATAATTGTGCTTTACTTCTTAAAACGGTTTGATAGTTTCTATAAACATTTTAAATAACATCTTTTCATTCACTGTATTA